TGCATCAGAGTTATAACAAAAAATTTAGTGCAATTTAATATCTAAATAATGAATAATATACAAAAAGATTGTTACTAAAACCCCATGTTATATCATCCCGCCGTGTTTGGAGGATACCAAGAGAATAACAATTGATATAAAATGCTGTTACAATATTTTTTATTATAGTGTATTACCATCTCCACGACGAGGCTTTTACATAATTCATTTCTTATTCTATCTTGTATTTGGCTTTCTACTCATTCTGCAGTGCTGGTTTCAGTTTCTGCCGAACACGTTGATGCATCTATTTTTGTTTTATTGTCCATGAAGCTCTATTTCATCAGCAAAGCGGATCTCAGGTCCCTCATGAGTTGGCTCGATTGGGTAAAACATGTTTATTTCCCTCCAGAGCTGTTGTTATTAGTCTTCGTGGCTCGGATTCCTCAACGATCCGTGGCGTCACGCCGTCGTGAAAATGTTCCTTCAGACAGCGTCATCTGCCTCACGGCTCTGAGCGACGTCCTGACGGCACCTGAGCTCGGCCAATCCCGGTCACAATGTGATATTCTGCTCTGCTCATTATTCATGGCCCAGAGAATATCAGGACCCGCTGTGCAGACTTACACTGAAGCAACTCTTTAAGGTGCTTTGTCCTTAAGGCCTTTTATTCTACATGAGATTTGATAAAAGAAAAGGGTTTTAACTTCAAGGCGAGTTCATCGCCACATTAACATGTAGAGGCAACACCATGTGATAGATTTTTTAACATTGGATTTTTGAGGCAGACAGATGAAATAAAAAGAAAGTATATCAGTTTCAGTACATCAAGTTATATCTCAAATCTCAAGATGTCTAACTTGTAAATTGGGAAAAGTTGAGTCACGATCAAGAGAAATCTGTGTATCTGGAGATAACATGATAATTAAAATGTGACATGAAGATACGTTTAAAATGATTATTTATCACACAACTCACACAATGGATGCCTCGTTGAATCACGGCGCTTTAACACTGATTCATAATCTCCTAATAACGTCTTCAGGAGAAATGTGCTGCATTAAAACAGGCACATAAAGTCTTTAACCTAAAATAGCATCAAGTTAAAACTGGGATGGTTTTTCTGAGGGTGCATGAGGAAAGATTCCACCAGACAAACAGCTCTAAATAATTTGGCAGTTTTTTGGAAGGCCACTCTCATCTCGCATGCTCGCATGGCTTCTCCGTGTGCGCCGCAGTTATCCTTGTAGCCTGTTTTGTCATTTAGGAGCTATAGAGATATTCACAGGAGACTCATAATCCAGCGTTAAACAAGAGGAACCCGAGCCAGCCTCCTGCTCCTTTATGGCTGCGCCGAGACCGGAGCGCAGCACAGTCGGTCCATTTACATCCTTGTTTCACATCAGTGCTTTAATATGTGACCCTGTCTATAAACGCTCCGTCTTAACACACACTCATTTCACCATGTTGTGTATCGTGTTTCCTCGCTGCAGCCAAAACCTTCTTTTTTTTCCATCTGTGTATTTGTACATGCTGAGGACATCAAAGCTGATGCTACCCCCAGGGTGCTACTGCTCACTTAGTGTGTGTGTGAGTGTGTGTGTGAGTGTGTGTGTGTGTGTGTGTGTGTGTGTAAGAATATGTTACAGACTCTGAGCTGGAGTTGTGTTGGTGTGGCCGTGGATGTGTCAGGTTAGGGGGGGGGACATGAAGACGAGGGGTCAGGTGTTTTGCTTGCTGGCGTCACAGTATGTTAATGACAATCTTCTTACGACTGTAATGAGTTGAGCTGCTGCATAATTCATCCCAGGCTGTATCTCTTATGGCAGACTGTAACTATTACTGACCTAATTGACACATAAGTAAGAAACACATGCTGTGTAAATATAGCATAATATTCCCTGTGTGATGTGATCCATCTGTACGGATCAACACGCTCAGTGTGTGTGTGTGTGTGTGTGTGTGTGTGTGTGTGTGTGTGGGGTTTGTTTACACTTATAGATCTGCTGTTATATGTGTCATTAGGTTGTTGCATGAGCTAAATTGTGAATAAATCCTCATGTACATGAAGCGTGACGCTTAAACGTTCCCTGAAGAAACGGGACGAGGGAACTGTAACGTTCCCAAGATGAAAACACATCAGGACTGAACAGCTCACCAAGTTATTATTGGAATCGTGACGTGGCCGAGTGCGTTATCCAAACCGCAGGTAAAGTGAAGCGTCGTGGTGCCACAGAGACACGGCCTCATATTCTCCAGACGTAAGGGAACCCAACAAAAATCACATCATCATCATTAGACTCATTTTCAGTGGAAATAAAAATGCAAAAACGACGCAGTATGATTTTTTTGGGGCGTATCGTTCAGTCTGTTTCCATCATGTTTGTTTGAAGGTTGACCAGCGCTCTTTTAATTAACCTCTATCGTCTTGTTGTTCCCTCTTTCTTCTGCAAATTAACGGCACCCAGCTGGAAAATTGGCGCCAAGAGCTGTTTACCACGGCGAGCCAACCCGTAATATTCACATGAAGGCGACTCATTCGGCATTTTCTGTGGGAAATTTGATTAAAGTTTGCGCTACATGTGGATGGAAACCTGCTGCTGTGCATTCGTTTGTGAGGCGGTCAGTATCCAACCTGACTGTCCAACTAACAACAACAACAACAACAACAACAACAACATGTTGGTCAATCCTGGATATTTGCTGATAATTAACGGGTCAGGCTGTTTCACTGGATGCTACTGGTACTTCACAGATCGCTAGCTAGCTTGGCGAAGGCATCAATTTACAAATATAGTTTCCAAACACCAATGAAGTTTTAAACATTTACATAAAACAACTCAAACTGAGTTGGCAACATTTCCCAGCAGCACACAAACACTGTGGGTTTAAAATCACCGGCTTGACGAGCGGCGGGAAACCGCAGCACGACACACAAACAGAGACGGGACAGAGAGCTTCTCTTTGTTTGATCAGGCGTTCTCACTGGGATTAAAATCTATTTTCCAAGAGAGTGACCTGAGAATAAGAAGCAGCCAATCAGCAGCAAAGACGAGAGATACACGAGAAACTAAGAAACAAAGAATTAACAAAAACATTTACAGTCTCATAAAATCATCAAATAAATAAAGATTTAATGATCTTCAGGGGAAATTTAAGACTCCAGTTTGAGGGCAGCTCATTTAAATGGTGCATGCACCTGAAGCCAGTGCTGTTCGTAGTTACTGCATCACGTTCTGTGGATATTAGCTGTGACAGAGAGAGGAGATGTGAGGCAGAGCTTTGTAAAGGAATAACGTGTCTGTTCTCGACTGTGAGGAGGTTCAACCCACGAGGTGATGCAGAGAACAAAGATGAGCACGGCGCTTGTCGCTGGTGATAAAGCGCAGTGCAGAGTGTCACCACAGGCGAGGACAGGCGTGAAGGTTGACTGCAGGTTACAGCTTTAAGTGCATGAGCAGATTTAGCAAAGGAAGGTGACGACCCGAGCGAAGCGACGCCTCCTGTGCCTCCTCTCGCTCGCCGCCGTGGACACGTCCGTTAGCAAACACGCTGCGAGGATCAGACACCGACCGACCTCCTTTCGTCTACAGTTCACGTGACTTTTGGCTGCACACACTCCAGTTTTGTTTGTGTGTGTAAAAAGACGATCCGAGAAATCACTGACATTCACCCAAAGCTGGCGAAGCCTCAGCTTTCTGCCGCCGCATCACATGAACCATCAAAACCGTTCTGGAACTAGAAGCTCCAGGTGAATTTTTCACATCCCGTGGTTTCCTGCGATCGCTGCTGCTCAACATTTAAAGGGATAGTTCGGGTTTTTTGACGTGGGGTTGTGCGAGGCGTGAGTGGCAGAGTGATGTGTTGCTGTGGGCGGGGCCACAAGAAAAAAAAAACACCCACACAAACAATCCAACATCTGTTTGAATGAAGCTTCATGTAGAATATTTTCAGCGGTTTTTCTTCCAGCACTAGATTTTACAACTGCTGAACTACCGTATTCCTACACACAAGCGCACCTCTGAAAGCAGACTGTATCACGCCGCAGCCGCAGGTCAGCTGAGTGAATCGGCGGGCGGCGTACTTCGTAGTTCAGCGGGTAAAAAATGTAGCGCCAGAGGAAAGTGCTGCTTTCACCGGAAGATAAACGTCACCCGAACTATCCCTCTAACATCACACAGGATTCCCTGCTTCCCTTCGCTCGGGTTCTTAAGACACTAATTCATCCGGCTGAACAGCGGCTATCCCAGAAGCGACGGTGGAACATTAGCGCTGTATTTCCAAACGACTGTAGCTGTCATCATCTTCTGTTCATGACTGAAATATCTGGATAAAAACCTTTCCACAGAGAAGTATGTTGTTAGCCCGACAGTCCTGCCTGTTCTTTCTTCAGCCGCTCTCCTCTGTGTCAGACAGAAACAGAAACCCATTAAATACTTGATGCAGCCCTGAACAAAGTCGGTACCTGTGCAGCTTCGAAACGTCCCCGCGGACTCATGACGCCACTGACCCAGATGGCAGCTAGGTTTGGAGAGCATGCAGTTATTTTGTGTGAATATCAGCAGCAGTGATCAGCTGTTCCTAGTGTGGAAATATGTGCAGTATAGTGTTTGACCAAAGTCAACGGGGGGGGGGGACATGACTGAAGCCAAGTGTGCAGAGAGCAGCCGGGGTTGTGCACAGGAACAACCTCTGCATGTGGAATGAGTTCCAGGCAGGAGGCAGAGGAGAGGAGGAGGAAGCACTAGCGCAAGTGCAGCAGCTCTGCTATGTTAACAACACACCAGGTTCTGTGTGCGCACGCACGTTGTGTGTGTGTGTGTGTGTGTGTGTGTGTGTGTGTGTGTGTTATCTGGTAGATGGTGGGGCATGATTGGCGTGTGCACGAGGGAGGATGGGGCTGCGAGACACTGATTGGTTGTGCTTCCTCCAAGGGTGTGGCCAGAATATGAATGACTGCTCCAGCATTTGGCGCTGCCAGGTTTAGGGGACAGTTGCCGAGGAGGGATGGGGTGTTTGAGCTTGTGCGCGTAGTGGAGAGAGCGTCGGAGCTCGTGAAAGAAGGGAGGAAAGAAAAAGGGAGGAGGAGGAGGAGGTGGGGAACAGAGAGAGAAAGAGAACAGGAGCTTGAGAAGAGAAGGAGGGAGGGAGCTTCAGGCAGCGAGGCTGGACTACCGCTCAAACACTGCAGTCTTTCTTTCTGCTTCTCTGAGGAAGCTGTCTTTCTTTTCTCCCTGCCCGTCTCTCCTTCCTGCTCCTTCCTCTCCTGCTGCTCGGCCATGACCCCGATGGACACCTTCATCTCCCTGCCCACCTAGAGAAGAGGAGAGAGGCGCTGTAGCGGAGGAGGGAGAGAGAGAGAGACAAGAAGAGGGGACACCGCACACTTTGCCTCACTGATGAGACTCTGGAAATTAATTAAACGCCGTCAGCACAGAGGAGGCAGAGCAGAGAGGGGCTCAGAGTGAGGTGCAGGAGGAGGATAAGAGAAGAGTTGAAGAGGGTGAATTGGTAGATGTGTGAAGAACAGGCTGGTGAGGGAGGTGGAGCAGCCCCCAGACACTTTTCAGAGACAAATCGGACAAGTTAGGGCAGAGGTAAAATAAGCAAGGAGGAAATTGTGCAAGGCAGGAATTCAACAGGGACACTGATTCAAGAAGCGCACAAGCTATCCATCCTCTCATGCTTCTTTTCAATCCTCCTCTCACGCTCAGAACGCCGTCCTTCCCTCCTTCCCTCCCATCTCCTCGTCTTCTTTCGCTCTTTTTCATTTTATTATTTTTTTTTGCATGTCAGCAAAAGTACATCGGCTGCCACGACCACATGCTGAACACTCAGACACGACTTGAGCATAGCTTTTCATCCTCAGCGGATGTGTGAGCATTTACCGAGTAGGAGGAGCTGATTGGCCGAGGCAGGGGCGCTGTTACCTCCCGGCGGAGAGCACCTGCTCGGGAATCTCTCATGAGACCAGGTAGGACGTTTCTGGATGGTTTTGCCGACGCGGAGCAGCTGGAGAGGTCGAGCTGAAGCCCTCCAGTCGTTTACCTGATTGAACCGTTGCGAGATGAAACTGCAAACCATCTTATCTCTAAAGAGCATGACACCTGTGCCGGAGGGATTACAGAGGGGGGAACAGGGTTGTGCAGATGTGCGTGTGTGTGTTGGGATTATGTCCTAAATACACAGAATTACACAGGCGTTGCAGCAGGATTATGCAAACTCTCCTGCTGAATATTGTGGCACTATAGGATTAAACAGAGGGACAAGTCGAGTGAACGGCAGTACATGATCTCCCACAGATTAACTCCGGTCACACTTGGTAATAATTAAATCAGCAGTTCCAGGGTTCAGTTACTTTGAGCTAAAGTGCCGACAGGTAGAATCACCTCTGAGTGGAATAACTTCTGCCCCTCAGTCCGTTCAGACTCTTAAAGACTCATCCAGCTTCCATAATGAGACGCTCCAGCACGGATGAGACTCCGTACCGGCGCAGTCCATCTTTGGACAGTAAGCCCGACACGCCGCCGTTCACTTCTGGCTTCCACCGCTTCAGTGGAGAGTTTGAGTATAAACGGCCGCCGTTCGCGTTTGGCTTCCACACGACAAAGGGGCCGCAAACGTCCAAGGGGCGCTACGCCCAGGGGAAGAAGTATGTGGTGTTTTACCTGGACCTCTCCTTCATATTCCTCCTAGAACTGCGGCGCTGCAGGATGGCCGAGGGTTGCATGATGGCCCTGCGATATGGAATGGTCTTCTTCAATCTGCTCTTCTGGGTGAGTCCTTTATCCTTCATCTGCATTTTACTGCCTCTGAGTGTGTGTGGGGTTTTTTCTGGGGGGGGTGGGGTGGTGTGTGTGTGTGTGTGGGGGGTGTGTGTGTGTGTGTGTGGGGGGTGTGTGTGTGTGTGTGGGTGGGGTGGTGTGTGTGGGGGGTGTGTGTGTGTGTGTGTGTGGGGGGGGTTTGTTTTGCAGAAGGTGATGTTTTGCTTTCTTGACTTTTTTTTCTTTGTCTGTTTTGCATATTTTTCTTATTTGGTTTGGAGGGAGCTTGTTATGTGTCTGTGCATGAGAGTGAAGAGAGAGAGTGTGTGTGTGTGTGTGTGTGGGGGGGGGGGCAGATCATGCATTTAGATCATGTGTACACTGTGTGGGCGAGTCGAGCTTTCTCTGTTCCCCATACAGTAGTTGCAGTGTGGGTGTGCGCTGCATTGTTTTCTGAGTTAAGCTTCGGCACATTTGGAGCTTGCGTTGCGTGAACCTCGTTAATCACACTGTTACAACCGTGCTGTAATTCTTCACCTGCCTCCGCTTCGCCCTGCTCTCCACACTGCGCCGCCTCGCCGCCCGTCAAGGCATCTGCTGTCAATCCGCTCTATCTGGCCGATGGTATCTGTTTGCCGTGGGGATGCTGGAGCTGCGGTGTCTGTCTGCCTCTGTCAGTCCCGCTCCGATAGCCCCACAACAGATCACTTTCACTTACACCGTCAAGCCTGTCATGTTCCCCCAGCGCCGCCTCGCATTGGGAGAAGTGGATCCTGTGCCACGGACTCCCTGTGTGAAACGCGTGGCGAGGTGTTGGAGGGACGCTGGCCTTTGTGGTTACCTTTCTGGGATTACTTTGATTTGTCACGCGTCTGTTCTCATTGGTAATGGAATGAGACGAGGCCTGCGACGCCGAAACGCAATCTAGCTGCCAAGATGCAATCTCCCTCCAGGAACGAGTGACCTCTTCACCTCCTCATCTTCTGTCAGATATAAACCGCCGTCAAAGAGGGGGGGCGCACCAATTCTTATTAGCACGAGGTGTGTGTGTGTGTGTGTGTGTGTGTTTGCCGCTGGAGATAAATAATGACCACTTGACCACGGCGAGCTCCAGCCTTCTCCCTCCGAGAAGCCAATCACGTTATGATCCTCCAGCTAAGAACAGGCGAGCTCTTCTTTGAAAATAACGCGTCTGCGTCGGAGCTGATGGCTAATGTCGGACCTCAGTGTCGCCACCATTTCAACAGCAATTTACAAGCTGTTACATGTCAGCTGCTTCGCCCAACTCCAGCTCTCACACGCCTCATTGAAAAGGGCTTTTAAAGGGGGGGGGGGACTTCATAGGCTTTAAATGTGACCTCAATATTCTGCAGACAATAGATTGGATGGGACGGCGGCTAACGGGCCCGACAGACACATCGACCCTTTACTCTCACTTTCAGAGCCTCACAGGCGTTTACATGGTGAAGGAGGAGAGGGTGTTTTCATCAGCTCTTTTTTTTTCTGTTAATCGGCTCTTACTAACTTTCTGAGGCGGGAAAACTTCTTCTAAAATAAACTTGAATAAGTCCAAAAAAACTTGAGCGGTGCCTCGAAATACACTGTCACTGTGATTCTGAAAGAGCGGCAGAAACAGATTGTGTTTAAATGTTTTACATAAGTTGTCAGATGAGACTGTGACACGTTGAGAATAATCCTGAACTGGCAGTGAAGGAGTTTCCAGTCAGACTCGGAGTCCTGGCCTCCGCAGTGACAAACTGGTCTGTAGGGAAAGGGCTGATTTCTCATGATGGTTGGTGCTGATTCTTCTATTGATCTTCCTTTGATTTCACTGAATGACGACACTGCACTACAATATGCTGCTGCATCGAGCGGCTGTGATGTGAATTTCCTTCAATCCCACATTGAGAAAATACTCGTTTTCCATTTTGAAAACAGCGCACAGGATTACACAGAGCGACAGTCTCCTACCGAGAGCAACACGCCGCTTATTCTGGACAAAATGAGGCGGGAAACACACACTTTACCAGATGTAGATTCAGTGAAACACTGCTCTGCGTCAGGGCAACACGTGACGGTCAGTTCACACGGGTCTGTGTGAGATTAAAGAGAAACACACGATCACAAGTCTAGTTCAAACGACCGAGCCTCCGTTTATTTTAATACAATTAGTCAATCAGTTAAACTGTCGTCAGAAAATCAACTGCTTTTATCCTTATAAATATCTGTGGGTTTTGTTTCCTTTGGCTCTGGGAACTTGTGATTAGAATTGTTCTAAAACTATTCTTAACAAACGATTAACTCCACGCAAAAACCAGAATATACATTTAAATTCTCTTTGTCAGATTTGTAAAAGCCCACGTGCGCCTGGTTCATGTCAGATAAATCTCAATCATTGTGGAGGTGGGTGAACACCAGCCTCATTTCCACTCCCACAGTTTGCTTCTGCAGTTTTTACCCTTAAGAAGCCGTTTGCGTATCGACACTTGCGCCCGCCCCTCCCCTCAGTGCGAGGAGCAGCAGGAGGAGGCGGCGACGACATGAGATTCTCCAGCAGCACCGGAGCAGCCGTCATTACACACAACCATTAAGCAGGACTGTGGATATTTATAACCCCCGTACTGATAATTCATCACGTGTACCTGTGGAGAAACATCCCAGTGTAACTCAGTCATTATCAAACGTCAGGAGGACGCTCAATGATTCATTCATGGAGCTCTCACTGAAACAGACTGAGTCACAGATCAGGAGAAGATGAAAATATCAACATGAGCTCAGATTTAAGATGAACAGAACGATGCGGTTCATCACTCTTAAATTGAACTTTATAAACTTTATAATCTTTGACTGACGTCACACAGAACGCTGCAGACTGCAAACACCGCCACACAATCAATGAAACCGGCAAACAACCTAAACAAGCTGTTTAACTCTGAGGTTGCATCTCTCGCTTCATATTTAATCTCCTCCTTATCATATCACCTGCAGCTATCTCCAGAAAACTGTGTTTGGTCTGAAGTATGCATGAGCAACACTTTTAAAAACAGCACTTTATGAGTGGGTAATGGCGCCTGCATCGCTTTTGTGCTGACAAATCTTTCACACATCTGGCCTCAGGACTGTGATGTGTACTGGGTGTGGGGTGGGGTGGGGGTGGGCCAGTTGTCATGGAGGAAGTTGAGTGTCTTTCCAGGGGCAGCAGTGAGGAGAGAAATGAAGAAGTGGGCAGTTACAGCTGCACTCAGACAGAACAGTGGCTGCTGAACTGACTGATGATCTCTGTGAATCGCAGAGGAAGAATAAAAAACTCCATAGCAACAAAGTGCTCATCGCAAAAGACTGCAAATATATAAATAAGAGAGAACGTCTCCAGTTACCACTTCAGCTGCTCGCTGAACAGGACGAACGACGAAAATAATCAGGAGCGGAGTCGGTGTGTCTGCCAAGCTCAGAACATGAACAGGAAGTCGTCAAGTTGAAGAGAAAGTATCAACAGCTAGATTAGAAAGTGACAAACTGCGCGCGCACACACACACACACACACACACACACACACAGAGAAAAGTGTTATTATCCATGTCACTTTATAGAAAACCATCACAGCATTGATCCTGCCACACGCAGAGCAAGACGATGGTATAAAACATGAAAGACAGAGAGACTAAAAATATCATTCTGCAAATACAGTTAAAGTTAAATGAATATGGTTTCAGTATCAAACACTCAACCACCTGCCTGATCCACATGAATGATGATATAATATTGTCATTTTGTTTGTCCGTATTATTCTGAGAGAAAGTCAGTCCTCTGTTGCTACGACGTTTGTTTGTGAGAAGAGATGAAAAATGTAGTGTCACGATCATAGAGACCGAAATGATCAGTTATCAGTATTATAGTAATAAAACACAAGCTGAAATCATTTCACCAAGGGACTGTATTTAAACATTAAAATAAGACCCTGTCGTACAGCACGGCTGCACTGTGCTCGGGGATGAAAGAGTGAGCTGCAGCCCCGACAGAAGTTTGAAAAACACTCACTCACAGATGGAAGCGTCTCACACGGAGGTTCGATGGCTCCAGCTCACGGTTTTTCTCCTGCATCTGTGTGTGCGTGTGTGCGTGCGTGCGTGCGTGCGTGCTCTGTGTACATCACTCCGAAGGGAAACGGCCTTCCGCCATGTTTTGTCTGGCATTTCCACCGTGATATATCATGGAACCGGTAACCGCTGTCCTTATCTGAAGCACGGGTCTGAGGATGGGGAAGTTAATGCATTTTGAGGCAAATCTGAAAGCCTGTAAAGTTTGCATATGGCTCCTGTGCAGAGGGACAGCAGCTGCAGTCATCTTTAATTCACAGCAGTTGGCAGTGACAACCCTGGGTCACTGCAATTAAGAAATATCAATATCTTTCATAGTATCTTCTCAAACTAGTGCAGCAGCTTGCTCTGCTTCTCTTATTCCCGTCATAAATACAACCAAACGTTGCCTGTACAGTTCCCAGCTCCTCGTATCTTTGTCTCGGCACAACTTCGTTTGCTTTCCGTCGGGTCAGTTTGAGAGAAACGTAAGTGTGCTACAATTCGACGGGAGTTTCCCCAAAACGGGATGAAATGAAAAAGATAAGTGACAGGCTACGCTGCTGAGAACTGTCTGGCAGAGCAGTGTTTTCAGGTCAAAGCAGCACTTGGTGTTTAGGATGGAAGGCAGATCTGCCTGCTCCCTTTTCCTCTCAGCGTGGCGTCGCATGGATCCGTCGTTGCGAGCGGCGAGCCGCCGAACACGAGAGCTGAGCTGAGCTGAGAGCAGCAGCAGGAGGTGGAGGAGATCCAAACTGTGGCAGAAGAGCTCAGGATGATTTCTGTTATTGCGGCTGGTAAAATAAAGACCAAAAGTTTTGATGTGCTTTCTTAATTAAAGTAAAAGTAATGTTTTAGTTTCCTTTTGACAGCGGCGTTGATGGATCCTTGAAAACACCAAAGACTCGTTTCATTACTGTTGCTGACAGATTCACA